GAGTGGGGGTCAGTGCTGGATGTGGAGAAGAGGGGGGGGTAGTGCTGGATGTGGAGAAGAGGGGGGGGTCAGTGCTGGATGTGGAGAAGAGGGGGGGGTAGTGCTGGATGTGGACTCTCTCACAGCTGGAGGAAGAGGGGGGGGTCAGTGCTGGATGTGGAGAAGAAGGGGGGGGGGGGGTAGTGCTGGATGTGGACTCTCTCACAGCTGGAGAAGAGGGGGGGGGGTCAGTGCTGGATGTGGACTCTCTCACACCTGGAGAAGAGGGGGGGGGTCAGTGCTGGATGTGGACTCTCTCTCACACCTGGAGAAGAGGGGGGGGTCAGTGCTGGATGTGGACCTCTCTCACAGCTGGAGAAGAGGGGGGGGTCAGTGCTGGATGTGACTCTCTCACAGCTGGAGAAGAGGGGGGGGGTCAGTGCTGGATGTGGGACTCTCTCACACCTGGAGAAGAGGGGGGGTCAGTGCTGGATGTGGACTCTCACACCTGGAGAAGAGGGGGGGGTCAGTGCTGGATGTGGACTCTCTCACACCTGGAGAAGAGGGGGGGGTCAGTGCTGGATGTGGAGAAGAGGGGGGGGGTAGTGCTGGATGTGAACTCTCTCACAGCTGGAGAAGAGGGGGGGGTCAGTGCTGGATGTGGAGAAGAGGGGGGGTCAGTGCTGGATGTGGAGAAGAGGGGGGGGGTAGTGCTGGATGTGGACTCTCTCACAGCTGGAGAAGAGGGGGGGGGCAGTGCTGGATGGGGACTCTCTCACACCTGAAAGAGGGGGGGTCAGTGCTGGATGTGGAGAAGAGGGGGGTCAGTGCTGGATGTGGAGAAGAGGGGGGGGGTAGTGCTGGATGTGGACTCTCTCACAGCTGGAGAAGAGGGGGGGGGCAGTGCTGGATGGGGACTCTCTCACACCTGGAGAAGAGGGGGGGGTCAGTGCTGGATGTGGAGAAGAGAGGGGGGGTCAGTGCTGGATGTGGAGAAGAGAGGGGGGTCATGCTGGATGTGGAGAAGAGAGGGGGGTCAGTGCTGGATGTGGAGAAGAGAGGGGGGGGCAGTGCTGGATGTGGAGAAGGAGGGGGGTAGTGCTGGATGTGGAGAGAGGGGGGTAGTGATGGATGTGGAGAAGAGAGGGGGGGTCAGTGCTGTGTGGAGAAGAGGGGGGGTGTGCTGGTGTGGGAGGGGGGGGTCGTGCTGGATGTGGAAGAAGAGGGGGGGGTCAGTGCTGGATGTTGGAGAAGAGGGGGGGGGTAGTGCTGGATGTGGAGAAGAGGGGGGGTCAGTGCTGGATGTGGAGAAAGAGGGGGGGGTAGTGCTGGATGTGGAGAAGAGGGGGGGTCATTGCTGATGTGGAGAAGAGAGGGGGGGTCAGTGCTGGATGTGTGAGAAGAGGGGGGGGGTAGTGCTGGATGTGGAGAAGAGGGGGGGTAGTGCTGGATGTGGAGAAGAGGGGGGGTCAGTGCTGGATGTGGAGAGAGGGGGGGTAGTGGCTGGATGTGGAGAAGAGAGGGGGGGTCAGTGCTGGATGTGGAGAAGAGGGGGGGGTCAGTGCTGGATGTGGAGAAGCGGGGGGGGGGTCAGTGCTGAATGTGGAGAAGAGGGGGGGGTAGTGCTGGATGTGGAGAAGAGGGGGGGTAGTGCTGGAGGTGGAGAAGAGGGGGGGTGAGTGCTGGATGTGGAGAAGAGAGGGGGGGGTCAGTGCTGGATGTGGGAGAAGAGGGGGGGGGGTAGTGCTGGATGTGGAGAAGAGGGGGGGGTAGTGCTGGATGTGGAGAAGAGGGGGGGGTCAGTGCTGGATGTGGAGAAGAGAGGGGGGTAGTGCTGGATGTGGAGAAGAGAGGGGGGGGTCAGTGCTGGATGTGGAGAAGAGGGGGGGGGTAGTGCTGGATGTGGAGAAGAGGGGGGGGGTAGTGCTGGATGTGGAGAAGAGAGGGGGGGTCAGTGCTGGATGTGGAGAAGAGAGGGGTAGTGCTGGATGTGGAGAAGAGGGGGGGGTCAGTGCTGGATGTGGAGAAGAGAGGGGGGGTCAGTGCTGGATGTGGAGAAGAGAGGGGGGGTCAGTGCTGGATGTGGAGAAGAGAGGGGGGGGTCAGTGCTGGATGTGGAGAAGAGAGGGGGGGTCAGTGCTGGATGTGGAGAAGAGTGGGGGGTCAGTGCTGGATGTGGAGAAGAGGGGTGGTAGTGCTGGATGTGGAGAAGAGGGGGGGGTCAGTGCTGGATGTGGAGAAGAGGGGGGGGTAGTGCTGGATGTGGAGAAGAGGGGGGGGGTCAGTGCTGGGATGTGGAGAAGAGGGGGGGGTAGTGCTGGATGTGGACTCTCTCACAGCTGGAGAAGAGGGGGGGGTCAGTGCTGGATGTGGAGAAGAGGGGGGGGGGGTAGTGCTGGATGTGGACTCTCTCACAGCTGGAGAAGAGGGGGGGGTCAGTGCTGGATGTGGACTCTCTCACACCTGGAGAAGAGGGGGCGGTCAGTGCTGGATGTGGACTCTCTCACACCTGGAGAAGAGGGGGGGGTCAGTGCTGGATGTGGACTCTCTCACACCTGGAGAAGAGGGGGGGTCAGTGCTGGATGTGGACTCTCTCACAGCTGGAGAAGAGGGGGGGGTCAGTGCTGGATGTGGACTCTCTCACACCTGGAGAAGAGGGGGGGGGGTCAGTGCTGGATGTGGAGAAGAGGGGGGGGGGGGTAGTGCTGGATGTGAACTCTCTCACAGCTGGAGAAGAGGGGGGGGTCAGTGTTGGATGTGGAGAAGAGGGGGGGGTCAGTGCTGGATGTGGAGAAGAGGGGGGGGGTAGTGCTGGATGTGGACTCTCTCACAGCTGGAGAAGAGGGGGGGGGGCAGTGCTGGATGGGGACTCTCTCACACCTGGAGAAGAGGGGGGGGTCAGTGCTGGATGTGGATTCTCTCACACCTGGAGAAGAGGGGGGGTCAGTGCTGGATGGGGAGAAGAGGGGGGGGGGCAGTGCTGGATGGGGACTCTCTCACACCTGGAGAAGAGGGGGGGGTCAGTGCTGGATGTGGATTCTCTCACACCTGGAGAAGAGGGGGGGGGGGTCAGTGCTGGATGTGGACTCTCTCACACCTGGAGAAGAGGGGGGGGGTCAGTGCTGGATGTGGACTCTCTCACAGCTGGAGAAGAGGGGGGGGGGGGGTCAGTGCTGGATGTGGACTCTCTCACAGCTGGAGAAGAGGGGGGGGTCAGTGCTGGATGTGGACTCTCTCACAGCTGGAGAAGAGGGGGGGGGGTCAGTGCTGGATGTGGACTCTCTCACAGCTGGAGAAGAGGGGGGGGTCAGTGCTGGATTGGGAGAAGAGGGGGGGGGGGGTCAGTGCTGGATGTGGACTCTTTCACAGCTGGAGAAGAGGGGGGGTCAGTGCTGGATGTGGACTCTCTCACAGCTGGAGAAGAGGGGGGGAGGTCAGTGCTGCTGGGCTCTGATTCATCAGAGTCAGACACTCAGAATGTAAGGAAGGCTCTCATTTATTAAACAGTGGGTGTTTGGAATTAAGTCAAATAAGTTCCAAAAGGAGTTATTCTGAATGTCCCAAATGAGAAATGAATGTTTGACATTTATTTTGAGACATTACTTTGTTGTTGTTTTATATGTTCAGACATACCATGTTGTTATTGGATAAAGTACAAGCCCGTACACACAAGAACACACACACACACACACACACTGTCAGGCCTTTATGTTCAACTTTAAAATGAATGGTGTCATTATATAATGTTTATTGAAATACTTTCAGCGTCTTTTCTTTTTGGTGTATTACCTGCTTCTCCAGCAGACAGGCGGCGGGGGGGGCAGCGGTTTAAAGCCACCCAGTGGCCGCGCCAGAGATTTTCTCTAGGGGGTGCTGTGGGGTAGCTTGACGTTTCATAGAGGGTGCTCAAACATGCAGCGCTACAGTTGAATTTTCTACTGCAACACTCCCCACACACACACACAGTGTACCCGCGACTGTTACAACGAAGGCTCGATAATCAGCTCACGGCATATAGGTGTAAGCAGGGCTAAAGTGCTATTTTTTTTATAAGTGGGGGGTGGACCTAACATCTTCTAGACTGGTTCAGGGGCATGCCCCCCGGAAGAGTTCAGTTCACTTAAGTCTAAGTTATCTCAGTGGGTCTCAAACGGTTTGGTCACAATTTATGTACACAAATATTTCCAAGACACTCCTTTATAATTATTTGGATAAATAACAACAGGTTTGAAATCATTCCAATGTATACTAGGACAGTAAACCAAAAATATCGTTTAAAACGAGATCAAATCATAATCTCGCCTAGGGCACCAACATGTCTAGGGGAGACCCTACAGGTGAATACAGTAAAATGTGTATCAAATAACGTTATCACAATCGCCACATTGATATGCAAATTAGGCGCCTAATTAACATGCGCTAATTTAATTTACGTCAAGTCAGTATTTTCCCCTGAAATGCTATGTTTAAATGCAGATTAGCTTTAAATCTATAGATTAATTCAGACATGGTAAAGCGAACACCATTTATTTGTGTTTTTGGAAGTTTCCTGTCCATTAGAGTGAAAGAAAACATGGAAGCAAAATAGACCAAAATAACAAAATGTACAAGTACATGAAAAAACGATCTTTTTACAAACAGTAACTTCATGATTTTGATTGTTGGCTGCTCATTATATAACTATTAAACCTTAATTGTACTAGTTTATTGTCTGCTCTTGTGCGTAGTGAATACTAAAGAAGACCATAACACCTGTGTTAACTGATTATTTTGTAGAATTCTGTTGAGTATTAAACAATTGCGTGAGTGTGAGGGTATTCAAATAAATTGGTCAGTAAGTCAGAGATGTGCAACTATATTTAACTTTTTGTTTTAAAACACTTTTTTATAAATGATTATTAAGTGCCCTTTTTCTCACTTGAGCACCCGCCCCCCAAAATGTCTGTGCACGTTCCCGTTGCCAGGGTTAGACATTGTAATCTGTCCTCTCTGTCGAGTTTTGTAAAAAGTTGAGAATTCTGTTTTAAACGTTTAGACAGACCAGGCAAAGCAAGTTTATTTGTAGCGAACCCTTCAACAATGCAATACAAAGTGATGTACATGAGACAAGATATAAATGAGGCCATATAAAAAGACGTATGTAAATAGGATTTTGAAAGAGTTATTTAAAATAAAAGATGAAACAGAATAAGACATCAAACATTAGAGTAAACAAGACACTAAGTAGTGGTTAATAGAAAAAAACTGTAAACCAGGTTTATGAGCTAGCTAGGAATTGTTTGCAATCTCATGTTTTCAGAGAGACCCAGTACCCAGGTTCTGTAAATCATTTTGACATTTTAAGGCATCAGGTTCCAACACAGCTCAGGTTCTCCTCTGATGACTCACACACCCACAGCTGGATGTGTAATCTTTTATAAATGAAACTTCAAAAAAGTAAACCAATTAGGCCGATTATTTCCCCTTATAGTGTGGTAAAGCGATTATTTGGTAAACGTTAGCTGACTGGACTTCCTGTGTGTCAGATGTTGGTGAGCACAGAGCTGCTCAGTACGGCAACAGTGAGGGTCCCCGGCAGGTCGTTGTCACGGCGATCGCCCTTGCCCCTCAGGTGGAGCGTCTGCTGGAAATGACCCTGCTCACCCGGCAGGGTCACCTGACCCAGGAAGGAGTCCATCAACACGTTGTGGTTGTAGATCTGAGGGACAGTGAGAGGAATCCATGAGACCACAACACTCACAGTTCCCTCCAGCTGTGCTTTACTGCATACTTCTACCCCACTACACTGTGGACAATTATTAGGCAAGTTGTATTTTTGAGGATTATTTTTATTATGGAACAAATACAGTGCTCTTGGTCAATCCAAAATGTTAATGAACCTCAAACCTGAATATACAATAAAGTCAAAGTGAGGTTTTTTTCTTAGGAGAAAATCTATGTGTGCACAATTATTATGCAACAAAAGGAAAAACGAAAATGTTTCCATTTGACTGGTTTATTTTCATGTGTTATAGTGAGAATAGTAAACAAACAACTCAAAATGTAAAAATAAACATTTCTGACCAAAAATGTAAAATAAATACTACACAGTATACCAATATAGCCACCCTTCTCTTCAATAACAGTCACAAGCCTTCCATTGATGGAACCTGTCAGTTTCTGGATCTGTTGACGATCAACCACAGTCTCCCAGACTCTGTTCAGAGAGGAGTTTCCTTCACTTTAAATCTCCCTTTAAGAAGGGCCCACACGTTCTCTATAGGGTTTAGGTCAGGTGAGGAAGGGTTTAGGTCAGGTGAGGAAGGGTTTAGGTCAGGTGAGGAAGGGTTTAGGTCAGATGAGGAAGGGTTTAGATCAGATGAGGAAGGGTTTAGGTCAGGTGAGGAAGGGTTTAGGTCAGGTGAGGAAGGGTTTAGGTCAGGTGAGTAAGGGTTTAGGTCAGGTGAGGAAGGGTTTAGGTCAGGTGAGGAAGGGTTTAGGTCAGGTGAGGAAGGGTTTAGGTCAGGTGAGGAAGGGTTTAGGTCAGGTGAGTAAGGGTTTAGGTCAGGTGAGGAAGGGTTTAGATCAGATGAGGAAGGGTTTAGGTCAGGTGAGGAAGGGTTTAGATCAGATGAGGAAGGGTTTAGGTCAGGTGAGGAAGGGTTTAGGTCAGATGAGGAAGGGTTTAGGTCAGGTGAGGAAGGGTTTAGATCAGATGAGGAAGGGTTTAGGTCAGGTGAGGAAGGGTTTAGGTCAGGTGAGTAAGGGTTTAGGTCAGGTGAGGAAGGGTTTAGGTCAGGTGAGGAAGGGTTTAGGTCAGGTGAGGGTTTAGGTCAGATGAGGAAGGGTTTAGGTCAGATGAGGAAGGGTTTAGGTCAGGTGAGGAAGGGTTTAGCCTGGTCCCACTCTGCAACCCAGCAAGATCTAAGAACCAAATACGTCACGCTTACATTGGAGGGGGTCGAGATTAACCTGAGCAATAACAGTTCATGGCGAGTACAGCGAATACAAATTGTAACAAGCAGTAGCGCTGAGCAAAGTGACTAAAACGCGACCACACACAAAAAATACTTATATAAAGTCAGGCAACACTAACCAGGCTCAGTGTGATTCTGTTTATTTGACCTTACTTTAATGACCATCCGTTCATTGTTATTAACCATTGGGAATAGTGATGTGTTGGTCGCGAACGAGCCGATTCTTTTGAACGGCTCTTTGGTACGAACGAGGGGAATCGAGTCGTACTTGGTGAGAGCCGTTCTTGTTATTGTTCAATCGTTGGTCCGCACTCACTGCCTGCCAAAATCCACTCGCCTTTTAAAAAGCTTGATTTTGTTCCCCAAACGTATTCTGTGAAGACCCGGCCCCTACTCTGATTGGTAGGTTTCAGCACGAGGAGTGAGATGGGGTGGGTCTTAAAGTGGTTGCGTTAGACTTTTTCGTTGTCCGTCATTTTGACGGACAGGATCGTAAAATTTCCGTCATAATCCATTATTACCCGTCATTTTATTTGATAACAGTTTTTTAAGAGTTTTAATGATGAGATGAGACATATTTCATATTTATGTTTGGGTACTGAGCAAATGTTCATTCATTCATTTTTTTTAATGATTCATACAGAACTTTTAAGGGCATGGAGAAAAAAACACACCGACCGTGTGGTCACTTTTCATGTCAACATGAACATGAATGATTTATTTGTTCCTGGCAGACGGCACAGCAGAGGGGGCAGAGGCCGCTAAAAACACGCGACCATTGTGCCTAAACAGGCAAATATGAACAATGCCATCGTTTTAAATGAGACAATTACAATCAGAATATGAACAAAACATTTACAAGAACAACTCAATTGACCTGCTGTAGCCTGAACGCTGATTTCTGCATCACCGTGCACCTTCGGACAAATCCGTTACTCATCTTAGCTTTTCTACAGATGTCGCAGAACATTTTTGCCGTCTTCCCTCCTCAGCCACTTAAACTCTTGCTCCCACTGAACCCGGTACTCCCGCTTGAACTCCTTGCCACTTGCTTGCCCCTCTGCCGCTGGCTGAACGTTGTCAGTTTTAGTCTTACTGGCTTGTCCTTCATCCTCCACCGCATCAATCCCTCTTTTCACCTCGTTTATCCACACCATCACATTTACTGGGCTTATTAAAAAAGCTTCGGACGATCAGCTGCCGTGACATTTTGCGATTGCTAAAGCCGGTTAAACAACGAGGTAATCAACGAGGTCAAAAACAAGACTAGACAATAGCTACTTAATATGCACACACTCGCCACCAACTGGACAGGGGTGTGAATGACTAAATAATAGTTACAGTCGAGTACAGTAGATCGCCCTCAGTCGACCTGGCCACTAAGGATGTAATATAATGTGGGCCGCTGGTGGGCATTTTTGGCGCTGTTCCGAGTTGTGTTCTAATCTGTCAAAATGACGGACTGCTTTCAGATTTTTCCGTCATTGTTAGAAAAAATCCGTCATTGACGGAAAATATTCGGTTAACGCGACCTCTGGTCTTAACGGAATACGAGAGAGAGAAGTCATAACAAGTGGTACAGGACAGGTAGACGACGTGTTTTTCGGATTGGAAAATGAGCCAAACGCGAAAACGCAGCAGCATTTGGATGCACTTCAACCAAAACCCAGGCAGTGATAAAGCGCACCATTTGTAAAGGCAAAATATCCTTTAAAGCAGGCTCAACAAATAATCTCCATCGCCACTTAAAAACACAGTAGGCCTTAATCTAATATTAAGAGTTGCGTGAATTTCATTCAAGACAAGGCAACTTTATTTACTTAACACATACATTCACACATTCATACATATGGCGCCACCTTGTGTCATGTTTACAATGCAGATTATTGACATTAGGTCTGGCAATACAGTCAATCATTATCCTGGTGATTATTTCGCAGATAAACCTAGTAACCCCGCCCCCTTTAAAAAAACGGCTCTTTTGAACGGCTCTTTGAAAGGAACGGAGCCATAAGATCCGGCTCCCTTCAAAGAGCCATAATTGCCATCACTACTTGTGAAGAGGCAGATGTTTTCCTGTTGTTTTATATTATTGCAGCCATCAGGTGGAATAAATACATGGGCTACATGTGGCCATCGCAAGTAAAATCATGACGAAAACCACGCCGGCAAAATATGCGTGTAGAAAACAGCTTATGCCACAATAAAATAGCAACAAGTAGTTAAAATAGTCTGATTAGCTTCGGTTGCTATGCTAACATCACCTGTATAATGCCAGAGAAACTTTGATAACAGCGTTGTGATGCCAAACAGCCTCCATTCAGACTGAAACACATTCACTTATGGGGATGGGGGATATTTATCAGCTGCTTGTGTGACAGTCGGACAGTGAAGACTTTACAGCGGCCGCTGCCGTGAGTTAACAGTAGACTAAACTCCGGTGGACGAGCAGCACTGCAGCGGGCGGTAATGCCGCTGAACCACATTAATAAACAATGCACCACGGCACTCTGGAGAAAGGTACAAGGTTGGAGAAGTAGTTCTTTAATTTAATCTGGCTTCGTATGATTAAAAACTACCCGACGCAGTCCTCTATTGATGTTGTTGTGAGCGGTGTTGCGGAGAAAATCAGCGACGTAAAACGCTGTGTGGGTCATAAGAAGGCACGTAAACGGTTACGTCATGACCTATGGTCATGCCGTAACCGTTTACGTGCAAACGATGACGCAATAATTCACCTTTGAACCTAATTCACCTTTGAACCTGCATCTGTAACAATGAATGGACCAAAGAAAAGAAAAGTCGACGATGTTAATGAAGAGTGGACAGCTAAATATTTTTTCACCGGCCCGTCTTTCAAATTTTAAAACTCATAGTGGCCCCCGAGCCAAAAAGTTTGCCCACCCCTGAACTAGCTCATCTTGAATAAAACCAGCCCATACCAGAACCCACCTCCACCTTGCTGTCACTGAGTGGAAGTGGAGCTCTGGGCCCGGTACTGATCCAGCCACGGGCCCATCCATGTGGTCTGTCCAGAGTCACTCTCATCTCATCAGTCCAGAAAACCTTTTTCTTGGCCCAGTCTTGATCTCATGTGCCTTGTTCAGTGGGGGTTTCAGCCTTCCTTCACTATGCCATGTCTCTGACCACCTGAGACTTCTGGGCCCTCAGGTAGGTCACAGTTCTGGACTATGACAGCACTGGAGGATAATGGCTTCCTGGTGGCTTCACATTTGATTCTTCTCAGATCTTTGGCACTTCATTTGCGTCTTCTTTTCTCAATATGTTTCTTGCGAAACTGTTGACTATTTGCAACAAAACGTTTGATGGTTCTGTGATCACCAATATCTTAGCAATTTCAAGTGTGATGCATCCCTCTGAAAGACATTTTAAAATGTTTGAGGAAAAGAAGCTGCCTAATATTTATACACACCTTCATGTAGGGTGTTGATCTCCTTAGGCCACACCCTCCCTCATTACAGAAATACTCATCACCTGATATCTTTAAATCCAATACGCATTCAAGTTCATACAGCTTGGAGGTGGAAAATATGCATAAACATGATAATATGGTCAACATACTCACTTGCCAAATAATTTCACACAGTTCACATCTCAGAGGGAAATATTGCTCTTTTAAGTACCCTACATTTGACTGACAGCTTTAGTCACCTTTATATTATTAACAAAAGTATATATCAACTAATACATCTCAATGTTAGATAAGCTACATAAAGTGTATAAAGTAATTCAAATGAGTTCCCCCTTTACCAGCTACAACAATAAACTGAGTTACACAGTGACATAGTGTTACTGTAAGTGGTATAGCTGAGAAAATCCTGTAGACACACAGAGACGAACACAGACACATGCACACCTCAATGCTGATTGGCTGGTTGGATTTCTTCCTGTAGAACAGCCCCTTGGTGTCGAAGTCTGGGCTGCGTGTGTCTTTATGGACCGGAGAGCGAACCTTCTCTCCTTCACACCGAATGATCACGTAAGGGTCAGACGCTGCACACACACACACAC